ACAACTTTAAATGCAACGTTTTTACAAAGTAAAATCCAATATTACCAAAACTTAAAACGTTTCCACACAAGTCAAAAACATTGATTACACAACAGTCTCGTTTCCTATTGACTGGGTTCCGTCCTATTGGGCAACTTAGTACAATAACCAGTCAAGAGTTTTGACACCAATTCATTCAACTGCATGCATAAATATTTATCAGTATTATTTGATACATCTAAGCACTTGTATATTGCAACACTACGCTCCTTCTAATCCTGCTCTGCCGCTAGAAAGGTTTGGCGGTCTGGTACGGACCTGATATTATATTTTTCACATTGTGCGTTACAAAACTATACTGAATAAGCGCAAGGAACACATATCAGGTGTAACCAGTGAGCCAGATGACTTGTGAATCACGTTACGTACTCATCAAACAGGGGCAGTCTGTGACGTCTTAGTTAAGGTCATGCTGCCTACACCTGGCCATGAAATATAGAAATACGATGTTATTAAGTTTAAAATTAAATTAACCTGTAAATACCATTTTCTTGAAACAAGGAATTGAAATTCAGTGTAACCATAGTTGTTTGTGGTGTCCCTTTTCACTTTCACACGAGAAAATTCGGATCGGCTGAAAAGTATTGGTCATTGTCTGAATAGGTTAATGAGACTAATGTTTCGGATTGAGTAAAGTACGTCCTTACGACGTAAAAGGTCAAAGGTAAAATACAACGTACCCACAAATGAAAATACAAAGTTCTCACTACGTAAAGTACAATGTAATTACAATGTTCACGTAACATTACTTGTGACAACGTGAAGATGCTGTATCACAACGTTGGCCCACACATGGGTGTTAATTACCTTGCTTGGGCACAATACCATAACCATTGTGGCACCGTGGGGGGTCTTCCCACTTACCCAACTCCTATTGTTTCAGTAGGAGAAATCACTGGGGCATGATAATCCCCTTTAATCCATTCTTTTCTTCCCTGTGAAATAGTATCCGGGATATAAAATATCACTACTTTTGACTCAGTGTTTATCTATACTTGTTAATCATATATACAAGTTATCCAGTTATACAACTTAATACAAAATCATATGAAATATCACATGAATACAACATCAATATTTCACAGCAATACTCTTAATATCCAGTTAAATGTGATACTGAGTCAATGAATGACTAATATTAAAGTTCTGGCACCAGTTGTTAGTTCTTTCTTGTACCTTTCTAAGGGATGGTTCAGTTCAACATATCTTCTCTTCCTAGGTGGAGGTCTGGAACTATTTGACCCGTGAAGATCCGGGGTAGAATAGGTCTTCAGCAACCCATGTGCTTGCCATAAAAGGCGACTATGCTTGTCGTAAGAGGCGACTAACGCGATCGGGTGGTCAGGCTCGCTGACTTGGTTGACACATGTCATAGGTTCCCAATTGCGCAGATCGATGCTAATGCTGTTGATCACTGGATTGTCTGGCCAGACTCGATTATTTACAGACCGCCGCCATATAGCTGGAATATTGCTGGGTGCGGTGTAAAACTAATCTCACTCACTCACTCACTCTGGCACTATTTCTTAGCTGAAGAACACATGCCTCTACCCAGGCTTGTTCCTTCTTTAAAATGGCCTTATAAATGTTGGGGTGGCTTTTGGCAAACACATTACTCACTTTACGATACCAAACCTCTACATGATTTATTCATCCTCGTAAGATGTCACAAGGCCATCTTTAGTGTTGAATGTTGATCAACATTCTTTCTCACACTTCCAATGGATGTAAGTATTTCGTCTGGTCTTGATACTGAACTTACAGCCCCTGTAGACCAACTACTGACCGCCGCGTACACTGGGTATGAAACGAGTGTTTATTTGAACGTTTGCTATAGGGCATTGGAGAAACAAGGAAATTTTCATACTTTATAATACTTGTCGTTGGCATAGTTCACTCAATTAAAATTCAATTAGTAGCAAATGATATGAACATAGTTCACTTCGTTCATCTTGTGAAGTATGTTCACCGGTGGTCATGAGATTGCTGTGATTGGCCCTGATTGGAGTGCCGGGTGAAGTTATGTCACAGCCAAAGCAGGGGTAACAAATTCACCCTGCACAATCACTGACCCATAACTGTTAATGTTTTTTAATCCCCCCAGCAAGTTGGGTAAGTGGGAATGAGCCGCACCGTGGAACTGTTATCTGGTTACACACTATAGCCAAGGTATACGCATTCATGGGCGGGGGATGAAAGTAGTGTATGTAAATCTGTGAAGTATTGACAATGGAGCTCCAAGGGTCCATCCCAACTCCCAAAAAGACGGGATGGCCTAAAAGTCGGGCCAAGAAAAGTCGGGCCGGGCCGGGCCACCGGGTAATACTAAAAATGGATTGCAGAATATTAAAACGAAACCTGCACATTTGGGTCTATACACTTCCCGCCTTCACAAATGCATAGTTTGCTTGAAAATGTATAGTTAATGGTGAAAAGACCCACACAACAACAATGACTACATACCGAGATTCCCGTAGAAAAGACACCGTCATGTGTTGAGTCATGCCGTATTTCCTCTAGTACACGCCTTAGCACCGATTAATTTTGCATAAGCCGATGACCCGGCGTTTATTCAGTTTAATACTGTCACATTGAAAACTCGCTACAATAAGAAATCCTAAATTCTGCAGCCATTAATCACAAACGCGACAGTCTAAAACAGGAAACCGTTATCTTCGGCATTCGTTGATTTCATCGAATTGTGGATCTAAATGAAGCAAGTCTAGATCTCCCCAGGTTCAGGTCTGAATTTCCCGACTCACTGGGCTTAGCATTTAAGAGAGGAAATACGGTATGTGGAACTCAATATGCGATAAATAGTAAGAAAAAGAAGAAAACAAATCTTTTATGCCCTGCTATCGCAAGACGAGTAATCGGAAGGATGAGGATTTGGATTAATTTCGACCGTATTTCTGATATAGCGGAGAGCAGAATCGACATTTTTGTGTGCTTTGCCCTGCATATACTTTGAAATCGTTAGAGACAAACAAGTGCGTTTAATTTTAGGTATTTGTTTTGTTGTGAATGCCTGGAAGAGCTGTTAATAATTGCCAGACATATATACTGCACTGTGTGTCCGCGGTGAATCCGTGACGGAACACAAACAGGATGTCGCTGCTTTGACTTGATCTCAACAAGTCCTTTTGTATGGCTAGAAGGAGTTTCCCAGCATCCGTTCCAGATCTGTTTCATGAACAGTCGAAGCAAAGTGCAGATCAACGGGAGGTTTAAAACGATATGGTGGTTCTTTCTTACCGTATTGATTCTGTTTTGTAAGCGTCTCTCGTATATTGCTGGTGTGGCGATTGCGCATTTCGGGAGAGATTATGAATGTTTGGGGGATCACGCACGCAATCTAAATTATCTCCTTAAGGTTATGATATAGCAACCCAAAACTCAAACAGAGATTTCGAATTCTTATGACGGTACCACTTTTCGCGTATTCAAACTGAACTTGTCCTTGCCGAGAAAATATTTGACATATATCCCTTTCTCCTTTGCTCTTAGATTCCTCTTGTTAGATCATCCTGCCATCGTTCACCTATAGAAGTAGGTTGGTGGCACAAAATTCCACCCGAAGAAAGAATGTGTAACCTCTGCGACACGTGTGATGTTGGCGCTGAATTTCATTTAATTTTTCTCTGCCCTTTTTTCAAGCACCATCGGAAAACGTTTATCCATAGGCAGATCCAGAGGGGAGTGGGTGGCGCGCACTACCACCCCTTTGTGCTGAAAGTTTGCTTAAATGACCATTGAAACTCGGGTGAAAATGAAGTGTGCACCCTCCTATTCTCAATAGTGTGCACACACACCCAGCCCCCCTTTGTCAAAAAGCTGTATCTGCCCCTGTATACCATACCATTCTGTTAAAAAAAGCCCAATGTTTTAAAATTTAACGTATTGTTTAACTGTAAACTATGCATATTTTGTAATTTCATCATGAAAACTGTACAATCTTCCATGTAAACCATCCCGCCACCCTATATGTACTCTACAACTCAACTCTCAACTCATCAACATGTAAAAAGTAAGCCTTCCAGTGATTATCACCATATATATGCCATATTCCCAAGACATATGTATATAACTCGATTTTCTGCGGCAGCTCTTTTCTGTATAAATATTTATTATTCAATCATTTTTCAATCTGGTGTAATTTTGTCTCAGTATTATTCTTTTCTTGTCGAACTATTTCCCGGCCTATTGGAACCGTGTACTGGAGCAGGCGTTCGCCTATCCAGGTAAACGGAATAAAAATATGTTCTCCCGGCCTCAGCGTAATACAAGTTTGTTCAATTCTGTTTGTTTGTTTGTTGTGGTTTTGTTCTTTTGTTGGGTTATTGGTGTTTTGTTGCTGTTTTGCTTGTTTGTTTGGGTGGGTTTGTTGGGTTTTATATTTTTGTTGTTGTTGTTGGGTGTTGTTGTTTGTTTTGTTTGTTTGTTTTTGTTTTTGCTTGTTGTTGTTGTTGTTGTTGTTGTTGTTTTTTTTTGGGGGGGTGTACTTTTATTTAAAAAAGGAAGGGAGCACACACACAATCTTAACCTGAATCAGCTGCCACGTGTATGGTAAAACTGGTATATTTCGTGTGCTCTCACTGTACTGTTCAGTTTTGAGTCTGCTACACTAATACACATGCATTTATCCTGATATTTACATGGACCGATGTCGAACCGTCTCCTGTATTTAACCACGTATACTGTGTTCTTTGCAATAATATCAGAAAACACGTTCAACAACAACACATCGTCGTTTGAACAAGGAAATACCAGGGGCCTGAATAAACACTATTTTATTGTCGTGGTTATTTTAAGTAGCTATAAACTGTGAGAAAAATAACGTTTTGTAATCTGCAAATTTCATACCAGTTCGAAAGTTGAAAATGAACCAAGCGCAGATTTTCTGAGATTTTACTTCCCTTCACACAGTTGGAGTTGTGCTTTCTTAAAGGGAGTTAACTCCTGATGTACAGTTGTCATTTGAGCGGACGCGCTTTGTAGGTACAAAGTTCTGTCTTGAAATCCCATGACAGTGTACCTACAGGTGCATGACAACAGGGCGAGGGGCGTAGAAGAACAGGTAAAGACACAAAAACAGAAACACTGACATTAACGTGTTAAAAGCGTATGCCCGTTCACACGATTCGTTTGTAACATTAGTGTGGACAATCTGTGTTGTAAACACCGAGGATTCACTGTTGCGATTCACTTCTTTTCACGCATCACTGCCATCAGTTCAACAGACTCAAGATTAACAGGCGTGTGAATTATCTCCCTTTAACGTAATCAGCTGTGTTTCTTTCTAAACGAGGGTTGACTTATCATCAGTATTGTCATAGCTGCATTAGTTAAGTTCAGTAGGATTTACACTGTGGCCAGTGGTCATTTTCTAAGAAAATCGTAATATTTTGCCTATATGAAAATCGAACCACGGACCATCCTATCTTCGGCAAGGGCACTATCCACTACACTACACCACTGAGGCCGGTTAGAAATATGATCTTATTGAATATGTGAAGTTACTGAATATCAGTAGTAAATAATTTTACAGTTTATCAGGTTACTATTTTTCAGAATTTGAAATTTGCTTAATGTTTTTTTTCAAACATTTATAGGTTTTCAACTATGATGGAAATATGTTATCTTTTTACGAATATATGATGATGTATCAAGAATTGGAAACAATCAAACCTATAACAAAGATTTATATCTTTGTTCGATGTAAAATATAACACCTTTGTGTTGAAGAGGTTTAATTATAGCTTGTCTTTTGACAAATCAAAAACCCGCGTGACCCTCAGCAGCGTTGTCCCAGCTTTTAGGCAGTGTATTTATGAAACAATTATTCATAATATTCATTTGCAAATACATGTAAACTTACTTGCATTGTTCCTGTCATAAACTCTCAGTATGTTGCATGTTTGACTATACTAAAAACAGAAAACTTTTTGAATGAAATCCTTGAAAACTTTACACATTAATTGTGATAGTAAAGAGCATGTAAATTCATCCACTATGCTGACTGAGCACTGTTTTTACACAACTGTATTTAATGTCTGTATTCCTTCTGAAGATGCGTTTGAACATGAATGAGTGAGGAGTATTGTTTTACTCTACTTTTAGCAACATTCCAGCAATATCATGATGGGGGACACTAGAAAATTGCTTCACACAATGTACCCATGTGGGGAATCAAACTGGGTCTTCAGTTGAATGAATGAATGTGTTAACAGCTAGGCTGCCCTACCGCCATTACTCCAATTAACTAATGGCAATAACATCGCAAGGTTTATTTTACAACCACCTTGTTGATATTGTCAGAGATTCATCAAGAATTCAGAACAAAGTGCTTTTGGAAAGGAATTTGAACATGCTATTTTGTTCGAAGTTAGTGAGGTGAAATTGGGTTTAACGTCGTGCTTGAGAATATTTCGCTCATGTTACGACGTGCATGCATGTATATGTGTATGTTCGGCTGCTTGTACTAGCCCAGACTTAAGCTGGTTTTATAGTGCTAGCCCACTGAGATACCATGCCGCAGTGAAGCATGAATACCCTACTCAGACACATTATACTGACTCCGAGCCGACCAGTCCTTGTTGTACCCATTAATGCAGAGTGCCAGGCAGGGACCAACAAGTACCATATTTTAACGTCTTTTGGTATAACGCGGTCAGGGATCGAACCCGCAACCTTCCGCTCCTCGGCCGGACGCTCTAACCACTACACCACGGAGGCGGTCCTGTAAGTTAGTAATACCAGACCATTTAACATAGTAGTTTAAAGATGTGTTCAGTGCTGGGCATTAAACCAAGTGTAGAAGCCATACAAATTTCAAGTCCTGTGCTGGGATTTGAACCACAGACCTTCTGATACAAAGTCGGACACCTTGTCCACATGACCAAAGATGTTAACCCTGTCAGCAAACTTACAAGGTAAGGATGTCATCTATGGGATGACTCCACGTCCTGCTACATTAGCATTAAGACCTGTTCCTCTATATTGGTCTTGTTTTCTGTGATAAACTAATTTAGTTATTGAAAGGCATATAGAAGCTGGACGAACATGAATACATGACACATTTTATGGATAGCAACTTCTTTCTATTCTCTATATGACATATCAGAGCTAATGCTTGCTCCTTCATTCACCTGATAAAGAATTTAGAAAAATTGTTATCTGTCAAACATGTCACGCATTCATGATAAACAAGTTGTGGGAAGATGGTTTTCAGATAATGGTTTTTAACGAAAGACTTGAGAAGCACAATGCCTATTTCATGCCTGAAATAATTAACCTTTCAAGAATCCATAGTTGACTTTTTTCCCCTTTTGTCAGAAGTTATCTCTACAAAACCGGAACATTAATTATGATAATCACAACAGGAAATGAGATAATTTAATTCTATGTTGGCAATTTAGTGCAGACATGGAACTGATCATCTGTCTCTTGGCAAGATGAGATAATTCCTTGGTTACGTGATTTCTGTGACTGTTTGCAGAGAGATGGCAGACGCCTATCCAGTGTTGGTGACAGGTGGCACTGGTTGCCTGGGGCAACACCTCATCAAGTTTCTCCACACACATGCTCTGCATGTAACCGAGATCCGAGTTTTAGACATGGCGCCTTTCACCAAGAAACTTGGTAGGCTTTCATTGGTAACCTCATTGTCAGTACTTCACAGGTTTGTATATCCTTGAATACATGCGACTGTTACATACTGGTAACTAAGAAGAATCCGGCCAATCAGCTTACAGAGGCACTATTTCTCATGCAAGTGCGATTTGTAGGCCTGTATAGGGTTAAAATGTCCCAGCCAATTGAATACATCCGGCTGTTACATACTTGTAGATTGGGATAGTCTGACCTGTCAGCTCACAGCTTACAGTCCCATGAAGATCCGGGTTTGAATTCAGCAACCCATGCTTGTCATAAGATTTTCTGGTCCAGACTCGACTGCCATCATACAGCTGGAAATTTGCTGAGTGCAGAGTTAAACAACAAAACCAAAAAACACACAAAACCCATACAGATGTTAGTTATCTATTATTTTGTATTCTGAATTTGTTGGTTATGTAGCATTTGCTTAAACAGTATGATGTTGAGAATCAGTGGTGTAATGGAAATGGTCTGTTTGTAACAGAGTATGAGGAGAGAGTGCCAGTCATAAGCATCACTGCAGACATTGGGGAGTTAACTAACACGTCATCGTTCCAAGGAGTGAAAACTGTGTTCCATCTCGCCTCCATCATCAGTGTCAACAATTTCCCCGACACTGCGAAAATGGAGAGAGTTAATGTCAAAGGTGGGTCTTAGATTGAGTGGACTGTCACACATTGGGATAGACTGACTGACTGAGTTTGGTTTTACACCGCTTTTAGCAATATTCCAGCAACATCACGTGATTTTGGGACACCAGAAATGGGCTTCACACATGAGTACCCATGGGGGGGTCATTGAACCGGGGTCTTCAGGGTGACGAGTCAGCGCTTTAACCACTAGGCTACCCCCAGCAGGAGTGGGATAGAACTGGGGTTGGGTGAAAGGGGAAGGTGGGTGGTGGTGGGTGGGTTGGGTGAAAAGGGAGATGGGGTGTGGTGAGAAGGGAAGGTGGGGTGGGGTGTGGGTGGGTCAGTGGGCAGGAGGCAGAAGTGGGGTTGGGTGAGGAAAGGGTAGGTGGGTGTGTGGTGAGTCAGTGGGGGCAGGAGTGAAGTGGGGGTTGGGTGAGAAGGGGAAGGTGGGGTGTGGTGGGGCAGAAGTGGGGTGGGGTGAGAAGGTGGGGGTGGGGTGTGGTGGGCAGGAGTGGGGGGGTGAGAGGGGAAGGTGGGGTGTGGTGGGCAGGAAGTGGGGTGTGGTGAGAGGAAGGAAGGTGGGGTGTGGTGGGGCAGGAGTGAAGTGGGGTGAGGGAGAAGGGGAAGGTGGGGGGTGTGGTGAGAAGGGGAAGGTGGGGTGTGGTGAGAAGGGAAGGTGGGGTGGGGTGGTGAGTCAGTGTGAGTCAGGAGTGAAGTGGGGTTGGGTGAGAAGGGAAGGTGGGTTGGGGTGAGGTCAGTGTGGCAGGAGTGAAGTGGGGTGGGAGAGAAGGGAAGGTGGCATGTGGTGAGGCAGGAGTGAAGTGGGGTGGGGTGAGAAGGGAAGGTGGGGTGTGGTGAGTCAGTGTGGCAGGAGTGAAGTGGGGTTGGGTGAAAGGGAAGGTGGGGTTTGGTGGGTCAGTGGGGCAGGATGGGAAGATTGGGTTGTGGGTGGGAAGGTTAGGTGGCATTGGGTGGGTCAGTGGTGAAGTGAAGTGGTATGGGGTGGGATGGAAAGGTTGGATGGAAAAAATAGCATCATTGAAAGCCAACTGAGTGACCACTTCTGATATATACCAGATGGTGTTTAATGCTGTGTGATGCAGTAACAATGACTTGCATGCAGGCACCAAGAACATACTGGAGGCCTGTCTTCAGGCTGGGGTTGAACGCATGGTGTACTGCAGCACCGTTGATGTTGTATGTGGCTTTGACAACATCATGGATGGCGAAGAGCACACAACTAGAACCCCAGGCAGACTGATCTACGAGGGCTATGGTGGCACCAAACTCAGGGCAGAGGAAGCAGTGCTGACCTCTAGTGGTCAACCCCTACAGTCAGGTACAGTTGCCATACTAATCTCACAGTCCCTGAACCACATTATTTTCCCTACTGCCTGGCCCTCCCTACAATGTAGTACTAGGGCTTCCAAAGTACTAGACCGAGTCGGTCTAGCTGGACTCGAGTCCATTTTCAAGGACTCGAGGGACTCCGAAAAGGAAGATAACTCGATTATTTGACGCTGACAGACTGTCTGCCATGTGCTAAGCATGAGCGCCGCTAACGCCTAATATTAAGATATAACTTTATTATCCCGAGGAAACTCTTATACATCCAAACTGTCTCGGCGTGGATATATGCACAGTTCACAAAAATATACACAATGATTACATGCTCAAAACGAATGCTATTTACAAATAAAACTGACATGATATAATTCAATTAACCACATAGGTAAAGAGGCTGAATAATTCTAGTTCTGATGGTGATTCAAAATATTTGTTGCATTCACTTAATACTTGATGGTATGAAAGACTGCCTAGCTCTGTTTGTTTTGAGGGAAGGTAATCGTCAGCCATTCAGAAGGAAGTAGTTCAAAATGGTGAGATCAAATATATCAACTATCAAATCTAATTTTAGCCCCTTTTGACAATCTGGCGCTCATTGATAAAGGGAGTATACTCGAAAGACACTCCAGAAATTTTGCAAGCAGTATTAACAATTTTGAAAAGTTTGTTTTTGTTGAGATGAGACAGATCCCCATACCAACATAGAAAATTGTAGGTCAACACACTTTGAATAAAGGTTTGATAAAAAACTGTCATTACGGTTTTGTCAATGCCTTGACGATAATAATGTTCAGAATCAGAAATTAGGCCAGTAACAGTGGCATCATCTGCAAATTTCACAGTAAACAAGTCATATATTGACAAGTAACAGTCATTGGTATACAAAACAAAGAGTAATGGATGAAGGAACACAGCCATGTGGATCTCTAGTAGAGGTTGAGAGCAAAGAAGATTGATAGCCATTGATACTGACATACTGAGTTCTATGTACCCTGAATTCTTTAACCCATCTGATAATGTTTTTATTAACACCTAGATTAAATAGTTTACTCCTCACACGTGTGGCTGTATGATATTAGTTGCTACAAGTCTGAAGATGAGAGTAAATATTATACATCGCTTGAGTTTTCACTTTTAAAATGATTAGGTAACTATCTTGACAATTGATAGAGATGGAGAAAGATAAAAAATCAAACGTGATGGGCGTATCTTCATCTGGATAGTGAAAAGAGCAAAATAACCAAATGCCGCTTCAGCGCGTATCTCACTGCGCTTTGCAGGCAGTACAAGAAGTACGAAAGAAAAAACGTTTGTCAAGTAAACATCCAAATACTGATTCTGACCAATAGGAAATGTTAGTCACATGACGATATGTAGACGGAAAGAAGTAAGTGTTCACTTGTGTGATCGGAACACGCCATGCCGGGTTGGCGCAATCGCTTGTTTGAAAGGTATGAATTTCGAAAGTACTGGTCCGAGTCGAAGTCTCACCCCTCGAAAGTACTCGAGTCCAAAAAATGGACTCGTTGAAGCCCTATGTCTCACAGTCCCTGAACCACATTATTTTCCCTACTGCCTAGCCCTCCCTGCAGTGCTAAAGCCCTAAATAAAGCAAGTCTAGATTTCTTCAGATTCAGGTCTGAATCTCTGGTCTCCCTGGGGCTCCTTTTCAATTTAAATGGGTTTGTTTGTAACAACCAAATTATACATATTCAGAGACTAAGCGTTAGTCTATTGCCATACATGTGTCTCATCATCAACTCTTCTGTCATCTATAACAGGGGTGGTGGGTACGAGGAAATCATGGGACAGTCATGCCAAAATATGACTAAGATATGGGTGGGTCATCCAAAAGCATGACAAACACAATAGGAGAGTAATTATGTTCAGTCCATCAAAACTCAAATCCACATCACTCCCCCCTGAAATGAATGAAAGGTCCTTACATACACCTGTGGTTCCAATTACAGAGCTAAATCTGTGTCATTCCATATGTTGAATTAACTAATGTAATTTAAAACAAAAGTCTGAAAATCAGCCATATTTATCTGTTTGTGCAAACTGTAAAAAATAGTCAACAGCTTAAGTTTCATGAAGTCTTGGTTTTCACTTGTCAACATGAAGAATAGAAAGTTGAATGTTTGTACAGGTTCGAGGTTCCAGGCAGTGTCTCTGAGACCCACAGTGTTCTTTGGAGAACTGGATACCCACTACATCCCCTCAGTGCTGAAGATGGCCCACCGAAACGGCGGAGTGTTGGTTCAGATCGGCAACGGATCGGCTCTCTACCAGCATACCTATGTCGGCAACGTGGCCTGGGCTTTCATCTGTGCTGAACGGACTCTCAGATCAGCGGCAGGTGAGGAGAGCATCTCAGGACAAGCGTACTTCATCACCGATGACTGCCCACCATGCAGTCTTCCTGAACAGGTCCTCCCCTTCCTCCGCGGCAGAGGATTCCGGCTCTCTACGTACAGAATACCATTTTTCATTGTGTACTCTGCAGTTCGGTTTACTGAGGGCCTGCTGTGGCTTCTGTCACCCCTCACCAAGATTGATCTTGGCTTCTCAGCTTTTTCAATTTGGTACGCCAACATGACCTTGACCTTTAAGAGCAAGAAGGCAAGACATGAGCTTGACTATTCACCTTTGTTCACACCAGAGGAGTCAACAGCCCAGGCTAATGACTATTACTCCAAACTTACATTGACATGACATGGAGAAATGAATATTAGAAACAGATGCTAAGACCTTGACCTTCACTTGACCTCAGGAACAAGCAACGTCACTTGACCTCAGGAACAAGCAAGGATGCTCATTTGAACGTTGGCAACACAGTGGTGACAGCAGTTCTAACACCTTGACCTTCAACTTGACCTTAACCTCAAGAACAAGATGGTATGCTGACAGAGTATTAACACATGTAATGGCATACACTTACCACTGATTCATTTTGTGTAAGTTGTCTATGTGGACCCTCCGTTTCTGTTTTCAAGAGCTCTAGCCTCAAATGAACACTCACACAAATGATATTGTAAGCAAAATGTTCACTTTCAAAGTGCACCTTGTTAATATTTTTCTAATTTTTAGTAATGATTTTTTAATCATCATTTGGTTGCTTTACACGCAAATATATATTTATGTAATTTTATATATTGTATACATATGTATTTTATAATGGTCATATATTGAGCTCAACTGTGGTATTACTTTGTGACCTTTGACAATTCTGATAAAACGTAATTAGTTGCTTAGTTTGGTTGATATCCTCACAAGGAGTATACCATAATGACCATATACTAACTGGTTGGGTCACAGCCCAGTGAGACAGACAGGTCTACCTGTGGTCAGTGGTTGTCTGCTGAAGGACTGACCATCCAGTCAGACTGCAATAATGGATCTGAACAACCAGTCAGACCACAGTGACAGGTATGAACCACCATTGTCTGACAACAATAATGGATCTGAACAACCAGTCAGACCAGTGACAGGTATGAACCACCATTGTCTGACAACAATAATGGATCTGAACAACCAGTCAGACCAGTGACAGATATGAACCACCATTGTCTGACAACAATAATGGATCTGAACAACCAGTCAGACCAGTGACAGATATGAACCACCATTGTCTGACAACAATAATGGATCTGAACAACCAGTCAGACCACAGTGACAGGTATGAACCACCATTGTCTGACAACAATAATGGATCTGAACAACCAGTCAGACCACAGTGACAGGTATGAACCACCATTGTCTGACAACAATAATGGATCTGAACAACCAGTCAGACCAGTGACAGATATGAACCACCATTGTCTGACAACAATAATGGATCTGACCAACCAGTCAGACCAGTGACAGACATGAACCACCATTGTCTGACAACAATAATGGATCTGAACAACCAGTCAGACCACAGTGAAAGGTATGAACCACCATTGTCTGACAACAATAATGGATCTGAACAACTAGTCGGACCACTGTGACAGGTATGAACCACCATTGTCTGACAACAATAATGGATCTGACCAACCAGTCAGACCAGTGACAGGTATGAACCACCATTGTCTGACAACAATAATGGATCTGAACAACCAGTCAGACCACAGTGACAGGTATGAACCACCATTGTCTGACAACAATAATGGATCTGAACAACCAGTCAGACCACAGTGACAGATATGAACCACCATTGTCTGACAACAATAATGGATCTGAACAACCAGTCAGACCACAGTGACAGACATGAACCACCATTGTCTGACAACAATAATGGATCTGAACAACCAGTCAGACCAGTGACAGGTATGAACCACCATTGTCTGACAACAATAATGGATCTGAACAACCAGTCAGACCAGTGACAGATATGAACCACCATTGTCTGACAACAATAATGGATCTGAACAACCAGTCAGACCACAGTGACAGGTATGAACCACCATTGTCTGACAACAATAATGGATCTGAACAACCAGTCAGACCACAGTGACAGGTATGAACCACCATTGTCTGACAACAATAATGGATCTGAACAACCAGTCAGACCACAGTGACAGATATGAACCACCATTGTCTGACAACAATAATGGATCTGAACCATCAACTCTAGATACATCTGAACCGTTAGTCAGATAATGAAAGATGTCAACCAACACTGTCACACAAAAATGAACACAAACTCTCACACTAATGTAGTCGATAGATATGACTTTACAAATACTTAAGGATTCACCCATGGGGAACCCTGACAAACAACAGAGGCCAAGTGCTCAGTTTTGTGCTATTTTATTGCATATTTGGTTGAGTCTGTAATACAGAGACATAAATACACCGAGGGTCGTGTGCCTGTACAGAGTGCTCTCCCCTTGGACATGGGAGGCACAACACAGTATATATTTCATATACCCATGCTTGTATCACTGACTGTGTGACGTAGTCAATATTCACACTTTAGGGCGGATTATAGAGATGAACACAGATATCTAGTACAGACAGACAGACACATGGACAGAGCATAGGACAATATGGTAAAAGTTACAATAGTCATAAAATAGATGAAAGTTTCACAAAACTGTCTTACTCAATCACTGTCTGGCTTAAACACCCACAGGGCTTAATTTGTTGCCTACAGCACCTAAAGATATGGTGTAAGCAACAAAGACGAAGTACTTTAGACAATGTCGAGTGGATTATTGTAACACTGGTAGGCTTATAAGAGAAATGATAATTCTTGCAACAAGTATGGCCCCAGATTGTTTCACTAGTCATAATGTGTGAGTGAGTGAGTCGTCTTCAACACTGTTTTGAACAGCATTTCATTTGTACCAAAGGCTGGTCAGCTTTATAGAGGGTAGCTGGAAGTCCTTAGACATTATTTGGGTGTTTATTATCTATGATAAACCCAGCTGACAAACCCAGAAACATGAAAAAGGGCAATCTAGGTTTAAACCCATGATCACAGGTTCCTGTCATGCTCAAGGGAGGCAATTCGGCAAACTGTGGTGCCTTAGATGATTAGCCTACCCAGTATATTCAATAGATCATGAAACATTATTCTGATAACTTTGTTTGTTTCAGTCATAATAAGCATCATAACTTCATCATGGTTGTGTGATCACATTTTATTACCAGATAGTGTAAAACGAGATAAACTTAGATATTTGAATGTGGACTTGTTGACATGTTATTTACATGTTCAAGATAATGTCAATGTGTTAAAAGAACTAACTACAAGAGTTCCACTTCATTGGGATAAGACTCTATATGATTCCCAGCAATTAAACCAGACATTTTAGACCAACATGACATTTGAGACCAAGATGATCACTAACCCATGAAGTTGTGACACTCCATAGGAGGTTGCATTAGAAATTCTGTCAACTGCCAATCAGCATTGAAGCTGTTATAAAGCTCAGTAAATTCCTATATGGCTCGATATATGCCCATGGGATTCACTGTAAAGTTATTGGTGTCAGTGTAATCCCTGTTGGGTTCAATTTAATGCCAGAGGTCAGTGTTGTTATGGTTCAATGTAATGCCACATTGCTTATTGTAATGCCACAGGGTTCAATGTAATGCCACAGTGATTATGGTAACCCCATATTGCTCACTGAAACACCATGGGGATTAATCTAATGTCATATGACCGCTACAATGCTGGGATCATTGTAATGCCACAGGGTTTAATGTAATGCCAGAGCTTATTGGTACCCTATATGATTCATTATCACATCGACCGCCTCCGTGATGTAGTGGTTAGAGCGGAGGTCGCGGGTTCAAAGCCCGACCGCGTCATACCAAACAGACATTAAAATATGGTACTTGTTGGTCCCTGCCTGGCGCTCGGCATTAATGGGTACAACAAAGACTGGTCGGCTCGGAGTCAGTATAATGTGTCTGAGTGGGGTATTCATGCTTCACTGCGGCATGGTATCTCAGTGGGCTAGCACTATAAAACCAGCTTAAGTCTGGGCTAGTACAAGCAGCCGCACATACACATGCATGCACATCGTCATATGAGCGAAATATTCTCAAGCACGACGTTAAACCCAATTTCACCTGACCTCATTATCACATCACAGGACTCGGTGTATTGCCATATGAACAATCCAGCATTGGGCTCAAAGCAACATGTACCAACAGTGCATTGAGTGAGTGAGTGAGTTTAGTTTTACATCACTTTTAGCAATATTCCAGCAATATCATGGCCGGGGACACCAGAAATGGGCTTCACACATTGAACCCATGTGGGGAATCGAACCTGGGTCTTCGGCGTGACGAGTGAACGCTTTACCCACTAGGCTACCCCCGGCCCCACAGTGCACTGAGCGATCCCTTTGTAACAAAATAGGTTGCCCCTCAGATCAGTCATATATTACTCTCATCATAATCACTTGCAGCTTGACTTTCAGTTGACACCCTTGAGAGTTCAGCTCAACAGGAGCCCAAACAGATAAGAGATTATTGATTGTATTGTTTTACAACATACAGACATACACACAGACTCGTGGACACACAAACTCTTAAAGAGCTGGACTATGTACAGAAATCATAAATACCTTAAGGAACAATGCTTTAATTGTACGCTCGTGTCAACCATTTGACAACTAGAAAATCTTGGCTAAGCACATGGACATTTGAAAGTCAGCCATGCTTGGCACAAGGACAAAACACTGGCAACAGGCTTGAAGCAGGAACATTACATACAGGGAGAGCAACATGTCAACCAGAGGCCATATGGCCTGGCAATAGAACACAAGCTTCAGGACGGCAACATGGCTTAGCAGCGAAGAGAAAATTTGATATGGCAACACTGTTTAGGAAGTGGACAAACATGGCAGAATACTGGGACAAAACATGAGGGCATCATGGCTTCGCACAGGGACAAACGTGGCGGAGCACAGGAACAAACGTGGTGGAGCACTGGGACAAATGTGGCTGTCATGACAGCAGAGCCAGGAACTAAGCACTAGGGGCACCACAGCTTGACACAGGAACTAAACACTTGGGGCACCCCTGCTTGACACAGAAACTAAACACTGGGGGCACCCCTGCTTGACACAGGAACTAAACACTGGGGGCACCCCTGCCTGACACAGGAACTAAACACTGGGGGCTCCCCTGCTTGACACAGGAACTAAATACTGGGGGCACCCCCTGCTTGACACAGGAACTCAACACTGGGGGCACCCCTGCTTGACACAGGAACTAAATACTGGGGGCACCCCTGCTTGACACAGGAACTAAACACTGGGGGCACCCCTGCTTGACACAGGGACAGACACTGGGGGCACCCCTGCTTGACACAGGAACTAAACACTGGGGGCACCCCTGCTTGACACAGGAACTAAACACTGGGGGCACCCCTGCTTGACACAGGGACAGACACTGGGGGCACCCCTGCTTGACACAGGAACTAAACACTGGGGGCACCCCTGCTTGACACAGGAACTAAACACTGGGGGCTCCCCTGCTTGACACAGGAACTAAACACTGGGGGCACCCCTGCTTGACACAGGGACAGACACTGATGCTGTGATGGTAAAGTACAGGAACTAAATACTTGGAGCACCAAGGCTTAGCACAGGGACAAACATTGGGGGTACCAAGGCTTAGAACAAGGACAAACATTGGGGGCACCAAGGCTTAGCACAGGGACAAACATTGGGGGCACCAAGGCTTAGCACAGAGACAAACAAGGGGGTACCAAGGCTAAGCACAAGGACAAACATTGGGGGTACCAAGGCTTAGAACAAGGACAAACATTGGGGGCACCAAGGCTTAGCACAGGGACAAACATTGGGGGCACCAAGGCTTAGCACAGGGACAAACATTGGGGGCACCAAGGCTTAGCAACAGGGACAAACATTGGGGGCACCAAGGCTTAGCACAGGGACAAACATTGGGGGCACCAAGGCTTAGCACAGGGACAAACATTGGGGGTACCAAGGCTTAGAACAAGGACAAACATTGGGGGCACCAAGGCTTAGCACAGGGACAAATATTGGGGGCACCAAGGCTTAGCACAGAGACAAACAAGGGGGTACCAAGGCTTAGCACAAGGACAAACATTGGGGGTACCAAGGCTTAGCACAGAGACAAACAAGGGGGTACCAAGGCTTAGCACAGAGACAAACAAGAGGGTACCAAGGCTTAGCACAGGGACAAACATTGGGGGTACCAAGGCTTAGCACAGGGACAAACATTGGGGCACCAAGGCTTAGCACAGGGACAAACATTGTTTGAAGTTAGAGTAGACGATACAAGAAACAGGCTGGACTGCCACCACTGGCAAGCTGATTTCTCAAAAATGTTTCAGTATCATCAAAACCCAAGATTTATGAAAATGAGGTCTTTCTGTGGGCTGATGAATCTATGGATGAATAAGTGCAGTTGCAAGAAACAGAAAGAGTAATCCACAAAAATAGCAGGCATCTACCCTCGAGCAACCAGGGGTTGATTGTGGAAGCCATTACCGGTTTCAAAAACTGGTCTTTGACTAAGGCAGCACTTAACAATAATCTAGCAATACTCCAGAGTTATTCCAGCAATATCACAACAGGGGACACCAATAATGGGTTTCACACAATACACCCATGAAGAGAATAGAACCCAGACCATCAGTATGACTGGGAAACGCATCAACCACGAGGCTACCCCCACCTCTGCCCTATGGCTGATATGCCTATTATTGCTGACAAGCACACACTATTTACAAACACAAGCTGTATCAAGAACACAATGAGTGTGTTTAACACAATGTCAACAATTATGTAAAAAACGTAATCGTACAACAAGATGGAATATATGAATAAAGTCCAAAGGACCTAAGAGAATGGCAACGCATCTTGATGTCATGTCGGACAACGCCTCACCTACTGACAGTTGAACTGTTGTACACGTGACAGTTGAACTGTTGTACACGTGACAGTTGAACTGTTGTACATGTGACAGTTGAGCTGTTGTGTACGTGACAGTTGAACTGTTGTACACATGACAGTTGAACTGTTGTTCACGTGACAGTTGAACTGTTGTACACGTGACAATTGAACTGTTGTACACATGACAATTGAACTGTTGTACACATGACAGTTGAGCTGTTATTAATGCGTGACAGTTGAACTGTTGTACACGTGACAGTTGAACTGTTGTACATGCGTGACAGTTGAACTGTTGTACACAGTTGAACTGTTGTATACGTGACAGTTGAACTGTTGTACACGTGACAGTTGAACTGTTGTACACATGACAGTTGAACTGTTGTATATGTGACAGTTGAACTGTTGTACATGTGACAGTTGAACTGTTGTACTTGTGACAGTTGAACTGTTGTACACATGACAGTTGAACTGTTGTACATGTGACAGCTGGAGCTGTTTTTGTCATTATACAGTTGAACCATAATTGTGCTTCAGACAGTTCTGTTGATGTCATACATATTACTACACAAATGTACTAGCAATAGATTTAGTGTTGTACATTTCAGTTTAACTGCTGTTGTACATTTCACAGTCAAGGCCATACTTTCTTTTATTACTTGGTTTATGGATCTGCCGAACATAGTTTTTGCTAAAGTGGAAAAAAATTAAATATCAATTTTTCCATTTTTTAATACCGCTGATAAATAAAATCCAAATAATAATCTAAAAATCTACTTTATTGAAATCGACTATCTGTTACGAATTCAGCATTGTTGCAAATCAAAATTTACATATTCAAACAAATAAAATTGCTGAATTAACGTGAAATTAGTTTTAAACGCTATTATAGTAGAAAACGAGAACAACAATTGCTGATGGCATATTCTAGTTCTTTTAAACAGCCTTCTTGTGGTGAAAGCCACTTTGGGGGAATTTTTCTTTTTTACCACCTACTGACAGGAATATTGCTGTAAAAAAAAACATAAACCAAGTAATAAAAATAGTGTGGCCTTAGCCGCTGTTGTACATTTCACAGTTTAACTGCTGTTTTACATTTCACAGGTGACCAGATACTATACTAATGATAGATGAATTGCCTGTCCTCAAGTTCAACTGTCTGCATACTGCTAACAGTTGACCTGCTACTATTCCCCTGACCACTGACGGAACTGGCAAGATCGAAATGGCAAGGTGTGACCAATAGAGCTGAGCCCTATCAACAGGTCACAGACAACTAGGGCTAGATGTGGCACAGTTTGACTGTGCCAACAAACATCAAGCTAACACAAGTGACCTGAAGGGTTGATTGGAACACATTTGGTGTCAGTAGCTAGTAAATCACTGCTGCCAAGATACCCAGGGCTGGATGGAGATGCACGTGGTGGATCTGTTGTCATGGCGACAAAGGACTATGTGGGTTTTGCCGCAGCTTCTCGCAGGGACTGTGGTTCCAGCTTGTCCTCAAGATAGTTGTCCACGAATAATGTGGCAGATTCCGGTGTGATGGGTTCGGAGCAGACGTAGACTTGTTGGTTTGGTAGGTCAAGGATGACCAGAAGAGGACTTTGGTCATCTAGGTGGGCAAAGTCTCTCACTTGGTCACAGAACTCATCCTGAAACACGTGCAATAGAGTTAGCAACTTGCTAGTCAAACAGCAGATCTCAGATATGTCACAGATCCATATGGAACATTAATCACCATTACATTAAAATATAAAATAACATTTTTATATTGTTTCGTTGTTTAATGCCACACTCAGCAATATTCCAGCTATATGACGGCACTCTGTAAATAATCGAGTCTGGACCAGATAATCCAGTGATCAACATCATGAGCATCATTCTATGGAATTTTCTCTTCACTGCTAAGCCATGTTGCCATCCTGAAGCTTGTGTTCTATTGCCAGGCCATATTGCCTCCGGGAGCCAGGGAGCCTGACCACCCGATCCTGTTAGTCGCCTCTTACGACAAGTATGGGCTACTGAAGACCAATTCTAACCCGGATCTTCACAGGTCTATAAAATAACAAACAACAGACTCAAAACACAAATATTTGGAGAGAAATACAACTCACATCTCCTCCATAAAAGAAGAATATCTCCTGGTCCTCCCCTTTCTGATGTTCCCGTGTTGCCACGTCGGTCAACACCTCCTGAGCACGCTCAATCTCCTCCGGCTCGCCCTCTACCAACACAACATCATAATGGGTCAATATATATGTCCATGTCACTTTCCCGTCATGAAAACTTATACTAACATATTCCAGCTACAGTGGAAGCTGTCAAAACCGGCAGCTGTCCAATCCGGCAAGTTGTCAACACCGGCATATAATCTCAGTCCCGTCCGTGGCTAGTACATTTATCATCATTTAAAAGCTCTGCAATCCGGCAGCTGTCAATTCTGGATCTTGGCACAAAATGAGCTGCCCGAATTTGTGTTTATAACAGCAATCAGCGCTGTCTAATCCGGTGCTTGGTGAGGAGTTGGTTGGATGTGTATTGTCACCAATTAATCCTGCTTTGAAACTACATGGTTGCCGACAAAGATAATTTAATCTTTGTTCAGTATGGGTATACTTGTACATGTAATTAGTGAGTTGAGAGAGAAATTTAGAGAACCACGTTATACAACAATGTTTATGAGAGTGATAACACTGGTTCAGTTCTAGTCGTAGGTAACCGAGTCAGGACTACAATCCGGCACGCTGTCTAAGCCGGATTATTTCTTCAGTCCCGATGTGTGCTGGTTTAGACAGCTTCCACTGTATATGTAACACTTACTGACTCCTTTGGCCAAGACACTACACAAAATAAATTGTAAACAATTATTATTTACAAACCGCCATCAAATAGCTAGAATATTGCTGAGTGTGGCATGAAACAATTAGCAGTAAGTAAACAATAACTTGAGTCAAGGGATGGACCATTATATTTTCTCTGGGAAGGTGGAGGGGCATGATAATGAGATGTTGATAAAATGATCAAAATTTATTGGAAAAAATCATTTTGATTCAGGTTTTAGAACAAAAACTGTTCAACACAAGACCTGATTAAATGGTATGTAGAAGTGTCAGAAGTTTTTTATTAAACATTTTCCATCTGTGCCACAAATCCCCAGTGCTCCCCCTTCCCTGCATATTACAAGCTCCACCCCCATTACTGGCGAAAACCTACCTGTGAACATGACCAGACACACGCACTCATTCAGCTGTATGGCGGCATTCTGTGTGAGCTCATTCAGCGCCTTGGGATACCAGGGAAACTCCTGCAACACAGCCCCACATGAACACATGTCACTTCACTGGTGGCGGGAGGTTTAATACACAGTGTTTGTTTGTTTGTTTTTTCTTTGTTTGTTTGTTTGTTTGTTTAACCCAAAATCTTCATAAGGATGAAAAATTCTCTCCATGGACATATTCCTCTTTAATCAATTGGTAGATGGTTTAATATACAGTATTTCTTCCAAATACAATTAGAATATCTTAGTTTTTTCTCTAAGTTTTGTTTTGCTAGACGTTAAACAACAAACAAACAAAATAAAACTTAAAGAAAAAATTTCCAACATTCAGTCTGACTGAGAGACATCTTTTCGCAGTAAAAGTTCAATTCAATTCAGTTTTTATATTCCATTAATCACATTGAGGACTCTCTCTGAGAAGAACCTGATTTTTATTGAAGTTTTATTCAAAATTGCAGTGGTGACATCACTGCCAAAATGAGGGTGAATGAAAGTGAATCACCCATGTGTATTTCGGTATTGAATTTATCAACATGAACTGAAAAAAACTCTAAAACTCTCTGACTTGAGGAAATTTAAACTTATAACATCTTTATTTGATACATTAAAGAACTAGGGGTCAGATTCCGTTTATTACCCTTTAGCCTAGTGGTTAAGGTGTTTACTTGTCACCCAGAAGAACTGGGTTCAATTCCCACCATCATACAATGTGTAAAGCCCATTACAAGCAGCATTAAACCATACTCACTTTCAAGATACTCAAACTGTAAACAGTACCAGGTAATCACAAGTGTCTAGAGTGTAATGGTACAGCTCATCAGCTCTAGTGGCGGAGAGATCAATGATGTAAGTCCTAGGTGATATCACTTGATGTCTACCCAAAATACATCTACATGGGCCTATTGTGTAGGAATAATTATGATAGCATGGAGATAGTATACTGGATAATCAGAGATGGGCAGTAAACAATAAACAAAGAAAAAATAAAACTTTGAGAAGATGAATGTGATTGGTCAATATTGAAAACAATATTTAAGTGCCAATTACAAATAATTTCCAGTATTGTGAGTGAGTGAGTTTATTTTTACACCGCACTCGGCAATAGTCCAGCTATATGGTGGCAGTCTGTAAATAATCGATTCTGGACCAGACAATCCAGTGATCAACAGAATGAGCATCGATCTGCGCAATTGGGAACCAATGACATGTGAAGTCAGTGAGCCTGATCCCCTGATCCCGTTAGTCGCCTCTTACGACAAGCATGGGTTGCTGAAGATCAATATTCTAACTCGGACCTTCACGGGTAATTTCCAGTATAGAACAAAGATAGTTAATACTACTAATAGAGTGAGTGAATGAGATTGGTTTTACTCCACTTTTGGCATATTCCAGCAATATTTTGGCAGGGACACCAGAAATGAGCTTCACACATTGTACCCATGTGGGGAATCAAACCTTGGTCTTTGGCATGATGAGCAAACACGTTAACCACTAGGCTACCTCACCGCCCCCTACTAAATAGAACATTTCGATGGTTACAATATCAGATTATGATGTTTTATTTTAGGTCGGAGTGTTGTCGTATACTCACTGCTCCTGTCTTGTCAGTCAGCAGTGATGACCGTCCATTCAGAGTGATGACGTTACCCTTCTCATCGATCAGAATCAGACTGGGGATACCTGGAACACAGAACATACACATTAGTCTGGATGCTCTCCGTGTATCACTGTGACCGGGATACCTGGAACACAGAACATACACATTAGTCTGGATGCTCTCTTTGTATCACTGTGACCGGGATACCTGGAACACAGAACATACACATTAGTCTGGATGCTCTCCGTGTATCACTGTGACCGGGATACCTGGAACACAGAACATACACATTAGTCTGGATGCTCTCTTTGTATCACTGTGACCGGGATACCTGGAACACAGAACATACACATTAGTCTGGATGCTCTCACTGTATCAGTGTATATCAGAAGTTACATCCCGCTATGATATAGCACCCCTTGCTACATGGATATATATCAGAAGTTACATCCTGCTATGATATAACACCCCTTGCTACATGGATATATATCAGAAGTTACATCCTGCTATGATATAACACCCCAAGCTACATCCTGCTATGATATAGCACCCCTTGCTACATGGATATATATCAGAAGTTACATCCTGCTATGACATAACACCCCTGCTACATGGATATATATCAGAAGTTACATCCTGCTATGATATAACACCCCTTGCTACATGGATATATATCAGAAGTTACATCCTGCTATGATATAACACCCCTTGCTACATGGATATATATCAGAAGTTACATCCTGCTATGATATAACACTCCTTGCTACATGGATATATATCAGAAGTTACATCCTGCTATGATATAACACCCTTTGCTACATGGATATATATATCAGAAGTTACATCCTGCTATGATATAACACCCCTTGCTACATGGATATATATCAGAAGTTACATCCTGCTATGATATAACACCCCTTGCTACATGGATATATATCAGAAGTTACATCCTGCTATGATATAACACCCCTTGCTACATGGATATATATCAGAAGTTACATCCTGCTATGATATAACACCCCTTGCTACATGGATATATATATCAGAAGTTACATCCTGCTATGATATAACACCCCTTGCTACATGGATATATATCAGAAGTTACATCCTGCTATGATATAACACCCTTGCTACATGGATATATATCAGAAGTTACATCCTGCTATGATATAACACCCCTTGCTACATGGATATATATCAGAAGTTACATCCTGCTATGATATAACACCCCTTGCTACATGGATATATATCAGAAGTTACATCCTGCTATGATATAACACCCCTGCTACATGGATATATATCAGAAGTTACATCCTGCTATGATATAACACCCTTGCTACATGGATATATATCAGAAGTTACATCCTGCTATGATATAACACTCCTGCTACATGATGGATATATATCAGAAGTTACATCCTGCTATGATATAACACTCCTTGCTACATGGATATATATCAGAAGTTACATCCTGCTATGATATAACACCCCTTGCTACATGGATATATATCAGAAGTTACATCCTGCTATGATATAACACCCCTTGCTACATGGATATATATCAGAAGTTACATCCTGCTATGATATAACACCCCTTGCTACATGGATATATATCAGAAGTTACATCCTGCTATGATATAACACCCCTTGCTACATGGATATATATCAGAAGTTACATCCTGCTATGATATAACACCCCTTGCTACATGGATATATATCAGAAGTTACATCCTGCTATAACATAAAACTGCTGCATATGTTCAGGTCCTGCTATTGTGAAGCACCATGCAGGACACAGCTACAATATCTCACTGATGTAACACCACTTGAACCAAGTTCTACAAGAGTGAACTAGTCCCTCCTTCCAGCACATGACATAACTAGTATCCAGTCTCACTCCACCTGAACCACAACTAAGCCTTAGTCTATACTAGTATCCAGCAATACTCTACCCCAACACACAGTACTGTACCAGTCACGGCTGCTGTGCATGCGCTGGGTGTGATTCACTACGACACGACTATGTGTTGCATGTCTTTCCTATCACTGTAATCTCTCCCCCATCTCAGGATTGTTGAAGGCAGGTGCACCACCGCCTGACCCCCCACATCACCCCAGCCATTCTCACCCCTCCGATTACAGAGCCCCTCCGCTGAACGTATCTCTCAGTAACTCTCACTGCTCATCACTGCCAGCTTGACAAATGGCTTAGTAGATGCAGTTAGCGGAACTGTGTATTTTATTGCTACTTTCCGCCTGTAAATATCGAAGGTGATAGCTACCGCCTCCCCTCCTCACCCTGCAGCCTCCCTTCACCATGTGTATCTACTGATAGTTTATGGAGCTGATGGACTCCCTACTATGAGTATCTTTCTTCAAAGGAAACTGTACAGCTTGAGACTACCTGCTTAAGAATGTTTGATGCTATGATTTAATATTCACTGCATGGCAAACCGTCATACATGGGATTGTAGCAACATTATGTAAGTCAGACATGTGGCGATAAAAAAAGATGTAGAGAATCGGACTAAATTAAATATTTAGAGATGTGAGGTAACATTATACAGAAAGGTAACACAGTAAGCTGTGGTTGTAACGAATGCACTTAAAATGAACTGACAGATATAACAACTTTTTTTATCCCAGCCTCTTGCAGTATATTTACTTGAAATGTTTATAGCAAACTGTGGTTATAATGAACTGGACTTAAAAGTCTCTTTCTAAAATACATCGTGTGATCATAGGTCTCTTTGAGTTTGTTAAAGTTTACAGTAGTTAACTCAATCTTACATTATTTCTTGCATGGAGCCCTTTGTAAAGCCAAATGGGATTTGTACTGTGTCATTCTATATCTATACTGCACTGCGTTTACTGCTCATTATCTGGTAATATAGCACTGAAAACAAGTGAAAGGTTCCCTCTCTGTCTGTTTACTTTTATACATTAGCTAATAGAGTGCACTGTACAGTTTTCATCCAGTGATCAGAAAAATGTCAGAGGCCCAGATAAGCTGCGTATCCAGGTAAAATAAGCATAGAAAATTTCCAATTACGCATTGAAAAATAATTGTTGCGTACCAATTACGCATTTAAAATGTTAGATACGCAAAAAGTTTAAATCAAATGCGTACGGAATATATTTATAAAAATCGCTTGCGTAATGAAAAAGACATCGATTGCTATCAAGTTGTACTGTTAGTATAGGACTAGTGTTGTACTGTCAGTATGGGATGAGTGAATTTTTTATGAAATCATTTCCATCATATTTAAGTTGGTTTTGATTAGGTATGACATAAGGCAGAACATACCTGCTTAGTAAACTCACTCAATGACATAATACTTAGGTGAGTAAAATGACTGAAATACGCACATATTTGAAAGCAGTGGGTAACGGAAAATGAAATACCCTCTCAACATTCATAATACCCACTCCCAAAAACCCCAATATTTTGGGTACAGTACTCACATGAGCTAAATCTTATCTGGAGCTCTGATTAAATGTTAATACTTTAATAGTGACCTGCTATCCACAATTCACCATTTGAGTATATTCTAATTTTGTGCTTAAGACTTTTAAATCTCTGTTGTGTATAAACAGAGAGGGAGTGAGTTTGGTTTAACCCACTTTGGACAGTATTTAAATAATATCCATGTCTAACCACGGGTGAAACCTGTGAGCAGTACTTTGTTTAGTGTGAGTAAAACCTACCAAATCAAGAGTTACTGTATTTTTCTTACCTAAGTCAATCAATAAATCAAAATAGGCGGAAATTGGCAACAGTGTGGAAAGACATAAATCACATGGAAACCAAGACTGGTATGCCACCTCCAGCAGTTGTCTATTCTGCCCACGATCAAGACATCATTTGACGCTTTGAACAAATGAACAAGGGATCTATGACCCCGATACAAGGAGTCATAATGACCCTGAGGCTGGGAGGCAACGGCAAACCTGCAGCTACCCCCCACGGATGTGTGTTAGACTACCAGACATCTATCCTTCTGAAATAAACCCATCAACCCTTTCAGGTCAAGGAACCTTCAAACATTATTTCTTGCAGGTAAATGTTCTCAACCAGAGTGGTGGTGTGTTCCTGAGCTGTTCAGCCGGCCATATGTGTAAACATTAAACAAGAACACGCCACTGTAATTTCTGTATTAGATCAAACCTCCTTTCGCTTGACAAGTTTGTTTTGCACCCTTTTCTTTTTTGCCAGCAATGCTGGGCTTTGATGGAACATTGATTTCTATGTGGATGGTTTTAAAAATATTTTTGATATGATTTGTGTAAGAATATCGCTTTTTTTTATCCTGCTTCGAGTTGCTGTTCCCATCAACATATAACGTAATACAAACGTGTGTTTAGGTCCTGCCCAGCTCGGAACTGATCAAAGTATCTATAGAGATCTAATAGGCCCTTATCTGGTGATCAAACACCCTCTCTGGAGTGATCAAACACCCTCTCTGGAGTGATCAAACACCCTCTCTGGAGTGATCAAACACCCACTCTGGAGTGATCAAACACTCTATGCCACAGTGATCAAACACCCTCTCTGGATGATCAAACACCCTCTCCGGAGTGATCAAACCCTTTCTGCAGTGATCAAATATTTCTCAATCTGTAGTGATCAAACACCCACTCTGGAGTGATCAAACACCCTATGCCACATTGATCAAACACCCCATGCCACAGTGATCAAACACCCTCTCTGAAGTGATCAAACACCCTCTCTGAAGTGATCAAACACCCCATGCCACAGTGATCAAACACCCCATGCCACAGTGATCAAACACCCTCTCTGGTGTGATCAAACACCCTATGCCACAGTGATTAAACACCCCATGCCACAATGATCAAACACTCCATGCCACAGTGATTAATATCACCTTCTCTGTTGTGATCAAACACCCCATGCCACAGTGATCAAACACCCTCTGCCACAATGATCAAACATCTATGCCACAGTGATCAAACACCCCATCTGCAGTGATCAAACATCCCATGCCACTGTGATCTAACACCCCAGTGATCAAACATTGTTCTCTATTGTGATCAAACACCCTCTGCAGTGATCAAACACCCCATGCCACTGTGATCTAACACCCCTTTCATAGCTATCAAACTACTGCTGTGATCAAACACCCAACTCAAGTTATCAAGCACCCATGCCGTAGTGATCAAACACCCCCTTTGGTGATCAAACATGCTTCTTCGTTGTGCCTAAACTGGCCCCTTTGAAGTGCACAGAGGGCTCCCCCACACCCAATCCCACCCCTTTCTTTGATCATCATCATGGAGCGCAGGGAAAACACTTCTAAGATCTAAAATTCTGCTTTATTGATAATTAATGCGAAAATCAATATGTAATCACAACATATCAATTTGATCAAAAGGATTCCTCATTATAATGAAATCCCCCTTCAATGCCTATGATTAAGCCGCATGTATCTGGCCAACCAGCTTCATAGCGATGGGTTTCACTTATTGGAAATCATCACAACTCACACAAACATTTGTATCCGTATCTGTGATCATCAGCCCTCTGTTGACCCCTCACTGCCTCGATTACGCCACACATCACAGCAAGCAGTAAATCCTATGATTCATACGCACTGATGCAAGAGATTCCGCCATGGCTCAGGAGACAAGCCTACTGACTGCCCAGATCTGCCTTCACAAGCAAATCAAGCTGTTAAAGAGACAGCCAATGGGGCCTAGGCTATTCTGATGGTCCGGCTCTGGGCAATGACTCTGAAGCAGTCATTAAACGGGCAGTGAATCAGCCAGTGGACTCACCATCAAACGCCTCCTGCAGATCAATGAGACTGCATGTGGACTGACATCAGCTCCTGCTCCCCACCAACTGCATAACACACTGTTAATCAACACTATTGATTGCATGTCACCGTGGTGTTTCCAATACCCCTCGTGTCAAGAACAATATTCTCTAATACCAGGAACTGATGGCAAAACCGAAGTAGATTATATAATAACAAACAGCTGGGGATGGCAGTGGGACATGGAACTAATTATTACACACATGGCATCATATGCTGAACTTGGGGAAACGTGGCAGCTTTGGTAGTTTGGCCCTGGAGATAAGATGTCATAGCAGGTGATGATATATACTGACATAGCAGGGAATATTATATATCATAACACACTCAGTGATGGATGATATCATGCCATAGGAGTGATGATATCATGACATAGCAGGTGATGATTTATAATGACATAGCAGGGAATATTATATATCATAACACACCCATTGATGGATGATATCATGACATAGGGGTGATGATATCATGACATAACAAGTGATGATTATGACATACAAGGGAATATTTTATAACAGGTGATGACATTAGAACATAGTGATGATATTTTGACATAGTCAGTGATAAGATTATGACATAACAAGAGATGAATGACATCGCAAGTGATGTTATGACACAGCCATGATGACATTATGACACACAGTGTTCATATTATGACAGACAGTGTTCATATTATGACACACAGTGTTGACATTATGACATTGCTGAAGATGATATAACATGTTGCATCAATGCATCTGGCAAGACCAGTTTTAAACCAGATCTTCACTGGGGACAAGCATGGGTTGCTGAAGACCAGTTCTAACCCAGGTCTTTACTCAGGACAAGCATGGGTTGCTGAAGATCACTTCTAACCCAGAGCTTTACTCGAGACTAGCATGGGTTGCTGAAGATCACTTCTAACCCAGATCTTTACTCGAGCCTAGCATGGGTTGCTGAAGATCACTTCTAACCCAGATCTTTACTCGGGGACAAGCATGAGTTGCTGAAGATCACATCTAACTCAGATCTTTACTCAGGACAAGCATGTGTTGCTGAAGATCACTTCTAACCCAGATCTTTACTCGGGACAAGCCCACAACTCACCTGCAATGCCGAACTGTGTGGTGAGGTAGTGAACCCTGGGATCTCCAAACGGAAGCGCCAGCCATGGCATGGTTGAATAGTACTGCTCGAAGGAGTCTGCGCTTCGGTCAGAAGACACAAACACAACCTCAAAGCTCTTCCCATCTTCTCGCAGCTTCTCATACAGTCGTAAGAGCTCTGGCGTGAAGTGTCGGCATGGTGGACACTGGAAGAAAAACAAGATTGATTGACCTATTGTTTGAAATTCTTGCAGCACAATACCAATGGCAAGGTTAAATCAGTGAAGTACAGTTTAGTACCTTTGGGGGGATGAGTCCTATCCGGGATTCAAACTCACAATCAGGAACCTAGTCCTGCACGGGACTCAACTCCAAACAGTACCATAATCTGTACTTTACTGCAAAAGTGCAATCCCAAATATAGCATTTGTTAGATCAGACCACTTTCTAAATGGCATTGTGTATTCATAGCTATTGGCCATGGGAGCTGTGCCACACACAATGTACGTGACCTAGACTACAAGCCATCCGACTCCCATTCTGTAGAAGCTGGAGTGGCTGAATGTGTTAGGTTGCTGACTTTCTGTGTTTACAATTAGGTGCCTGACTCTGGAAATGTGGCACTCAACCCAAAAATTACTAGAATCTGTACTTTACTGAGAAAGTGTAATCCAAAATATAACATTTGTTACAAGTAATACCTACCACTAGAACAATGTGAATACACTATCCCATTCACACTGGAAGATAAAAAATCTCTTTTTGGCCTAATTTTGGCCTTTTAGCCTAGTCAGCTGAGGTAACACAATTTGTAATAGTCATGAGTTGCTTCCCTTTGGCATGCCAGAAACCTGCATCGGGTTTCAGTCTTGATCATGTGTCAACATTTGTCAGTATAACACTCATACCTGAGGGTTTCAGTCCTGATCATGTGTCAACATTTGTCAGTATAACACTCCTACCTGAGGGTTTCAGTCCTGATCATGTGTCAACATTTGTCAGTATAACACTCCTACCTGAGGGTATCAGTCCTGATCATGTGTCAACATTTGTCAGTATAACACTCCTACCTGAGGGTTTCAGTCCTGATCATGTGTCAACATTTGTCAGTATAACACTCCTACCTGAGGGTTTCAGTCCTGATCATGTGTCAACATTTGTCAGTATAACACTCATACCTGAGGGTTTCAGTCCTGATCATGTGTCAACATTTGTCAGTATAATTTGTCAGTATAACACTCCTACCTGAGGGTACAGTCCTGACCATGAACATTTGTTATCACCTGTCCTGATCATGTGTCAACATTTGTCAGTATAACACTCCTACCTGAGGGTATCAGTCCTGATCATGTGTCAATAACATCAGTATAACACATGTCAGTATAACACTCCTGAGGGTTTCATTGATCATGTGTCAACATTTCAGTAGTATCATGTGTCAACTTTGTCCTACCTGAGGGTTTCAGTCCTGATCATGTGTCAACATTTGTCAGTATAACACTCCTACCTGAGGGTATCAGTCCTGATCATGTGTCAACATTTGTCAGTATAACACTCCTACCTGAGGGTTTCAGTCCTGATCATGTGTCAACATTTGTCAGTATAACACTCCTACCCTGAGGGTCAGTCCTGACATGTGTCAACATTTGTCAGTATAACACTCCTACCTGTTTCAGTCCTGATCATGTGTCAACATTTGTCAGTATAACACTCCTACCTGAGGGTTTCAGTCCTGATCATGTGTCAACATTTGTCAGTATAACTCCTACCTCTCCTGATCATGTGTCAACATACAGTATAACACTGACCTGGGGTTTCAGTCCTGATCATGTGTCAACATTTGTCAGTATAACACTCCTACACCTGAGGGTTTCAGTCCTGATCATGTGTCAACATTTGTCAGTATAACAACATTTCAGTCCTGAGTATAACACTTGTCAGTATAACACTCCCTACCTGAGGGTATCAGTCCTGATCATGTGTCAACATTTGTCAGTATAACTCTCCTACCTGAGGGTATCAGTCCTGATCATGTGTCAACATTTGTCAGTATAACACTCACACCTGAGGGTTTCACCAAAGCAGAAGTGTCTGCGACCTGTATAACCTTAGGACTTCTATCCTTCATACTTTACAGCTTAAAAGGAACCAGCAGCTAAAGTCACAAGCTGACATAATGATCACAGCTTTATTAATACCAGCCAACAGTAAAACCAATACCTTATCTCCATATGATGCTCTGGGCCCTGCCACAGAGTCTCCTCATCAGTACAACTGTTATTAGTCAATGTTTGAATATGGTAGTTACGATCGTCTCAGCTTTTCTTTGTGTAATTGGGGGCGGTATGGTCGCCTATAAGTGATTAAAGCCTTTGCTTGTCACGCAAAGACACGGGTTTGATTTGTGACATGGGTACAATGTGTGAAGTCCATTTCTGGTGTCCCCTGCCATGATATTGCTGGAATATTGCTAAAAGCGGTGTAAAACTAAACTCACTCACTCTGTGTAATTGGGCCCTACTAATTGTCCATATTAATTCATGAAATGAACAATGTGTGAAGCCCATTTCTGGTGTTCCCCACCGTGATGTTGCTGGAATATTGCTAAAAGTGGCGTAAAACCAAACTCACTCACTCATGAAATGAAATGAAGAGGAAACAGAGGCACTTTGGCTCATCAGATACTACACATCTAATACATACTGCTGAAAACAATCTAAGGAACATCAATCTTTTAAAAATATATAAATTTATAAATAATTAATGTGTCATGGGATTATTTTCAAATGTATGGATCAACTATATTCATATGAAAACAAATGTGTATTCTTCAACTGAATAGTATATACTCGTAAACATGTCAGAATTTGTATGCATTGACGTCTTTAGTCATTACAGTAATGATGTAAAAATATGGATTGTAAAGCTAGTTAGACATTATTTAGATTACACTCCACCACCACATGCTCAGGGCACATGATATTTTTATCTACGTAAGGGGATCACTAGAACCTTCATTCTCAACTCCCTGGGGATGATACTGCCTAAGCTTTCTATTCAAGGGTAGAATCTTTAGAATTCATCCTGCAGGGATGCACTGCAATTCGAGGTTTTAAGGAAATCTCATTATATTGCTTGACATCCTCTAGCCTCTTCCTTTCAGCTGTCACTTGTTACTGATGAGGTGAGGTCAAATAAGGTTTAAAGGTGCGATTATTGCACTTTTATAGCATGCATATTTGTGTGAATGGCCACTTGTAATTGTCCAGATTAATGCTGGTTTTATGGTGGCAACCAGCTGAGACAACAAGCCATGGTTAAGACATGGAATAATGATGAACCTGACCTGTCCTTGTTTTATACTCATATAGCCTAGCACAAGGCTGAGGCCTGAGCAGAACTGACAAGTTTGGTTCCTTTAAATATCCAGCAATTTGGCAGAAATGTTGATAGGGGGATGTGCTGGTCATGAAATTGTTTAACCACTAGGCTAGTTTGAGCAGAATGTTGATAGGGATGTGCCAAGCACAGATGCCAACCCTAAAGTGTTGCAAATAGTAGTTTTGAGGATCAAAATTAGTAGTTTGACCATAAAATTAGTAGTCAATAAAATACTTGAAATCATGAAGGATTCTGAGAAAGATAATACGACAAGAGTGAAGCTTTAATTTCACATACCTCCAACAGCAGATTTCCAAATTGTTACTTGCAATGATTCCAGTTCAAATATGTCATTAAATTTGATGAATGGAAGGTAAGTGAAGTCCAAAAATGTATTTAATTGACAAAAATATATGTTTTTGTTTATATATCCGAATTTTCATGAATTTTCTTCAAATTTCGTAGAAGTTCTAGTGCAATCGTATTGGTGTAGTTTAAGGCTAAAATTTGCAGCCTTCTGATAAAATCGCTGAGGTTGGCATCTCTGAGTGAGTGAGTGAGTGAGTGAGTGAGGGGTGCTTCAGTGTGAGGTGTGAGTGAGTGGACTACGGGTGAGTGAGTGAGGGACTGCAGGGGACACAAGAAATAGGGTTCATGCATTGTATCCACACGAGGGACCTGTCTTCAGCTAGAACAGTGAAGAGGGTTGAGTGAATGCTTTGACCACCAGGCTACCCCACCCCTCATTTAACAGTAAGGTGTTCATGTGTTTACATATCATAGGTTTGTTCAGTTTTGTGTCTTTCACCATCCTGAGTCAATATACAATTTCATCACAATCTTATTTGCAGTAAATAACATTATTTTGTACATTTGTGGTCGGGTGGGTGAGTGGGAGTATCGGTATCAAACAAAGACCTTCCACTCTCTGAGAACATGCTTTCCCCACTTGGCCACAGAAGATGGTTTTAATTACAGTAAGTTGGAAAACTACAGTCGTGATCTCTGCCTGAACTCCATCAGAATTTGAATTTAATCCTCCATCCAGTGCAACTTGAGAGTTGACTTTGTGATATTTTTGTAAGAACATCACAGATAAGGGAATACTAACAATTCTGCCTCTAAAGTTTATAAATAATGGGAAAAAACATGAAGCTTATTTTCATTGTTGAGACCATTTAGGTATCTTGTTTCCTCATAGTATAAATATTTTAGCAACTCAACATAATTAGCCGGATGAAAATAATGTCATGAGTATACTGACATTTTAATTCCACACCATGGATCAATGATTGGCTTTGAAACGTCAAAATCAACAACTTTCCAAATCCCAACTATGGTGAACCCACTTATAGTAGATTCTGAGTCATGTGAATTGAACATTGTGATGCTCGTGCAAGCATCGCCCATGGAGAATTGCTGCTTCATGGACGAGGTGGAGAGAGGCTGGGGAGACAATGCAGAACCTGGCTTGATGAAAGATCTGCTTAATACCTCATATTCTCTGCTTCATAATCAAATGACAGATTGATGGGCAAAATGACACTTTGAATATGCCTGCTCTTAAAATCAGATCAACGTTCTAGAATTACCGTTTAATGACACCAGTTTAAAGTCCATCTATCCCTGCAGGGGTTCAGTATCATAATCCTGGTAAATACAACAAAGTATAACAATCTATTATCACTCAGACATAGTGGAATGAATCACCGGGATATGGTGGAATCTCTAGACCAGGGTGGAATCATCAGGATATGGTGGAATTGCTAGACCAGGGTGGAATCACTAGGACATGGTGGAATCTCTAGGCCAGGGTGGAATCACTAGGATATGGTGGAATCTCTAGACCAGGGTGGAATCACTAGACCAGGGTGGAATCACTAGGATATGGTGGAATTGCTAGACCAGGGTGGAATCACTAGGACATGGTGGAATCTCTAGGCCAGGGTGGAATCACTAGGATATGGTGGAATCTCTAGACCAGGGTGGAATCACTAGGACATTGTAGAATCGCTAGACCAGGGTGGAATCACTAGAATATGGTGGAATCTCTAGGCCAGGGTGGAATCACTAGGATATGGTGGAATCTCTAGGCCAGGGTGCAATCACTGGAACAGGGTAGAATCACTAGGAAATGGTGGTGGAATCACTAGGACATGGTGTATAATCACTGGGACATGGTGGAATCACTGGAACAGCATGATGGAATCACTGTGACAGGGTGGAATCTGTAGGACATGGTGGAATCTGTAGGACATGGTGGAATCACTGGAACAGCTGATGAGAATCACTGTGACAGGGTGGAATCTGTAGGACATGGTGGAATCTGGGACATGGTGGAATCACTAGGACATGGTGGAATCTCTGGAATCACTCTAGGACATGGTGGAATCACTAGGACATGGTGGAATCACTAGGACAATCACTAGGACATGGTGGAATCAGTGGGACATGGTGGAATCAGTGGGGACAAGGTGGAATCTGTAGGACATGGTGGAATCTGTGGGACATGGTGGAATCACTAGGACATGGTGGAATCTCTAGGACATGGTGGAATCTCACTAGGACATGGTGGAATCACTAGGACATGGTGGAATCACTGGGACATGGTGGAATCACTGGGACATGGTGGAATCACTGGGACATGGTGGAATCTCTAGGACATGGTGGAATCACTAGGACATGGTGGAATCACTAGGACATGGTGGAATCTCTAGGACATGGTGGAATCACTGGGACATGGTGGAATCTCTAGGACATGGTGGAATCACTAGGACATGGTGGAATCACTAGGACATGGTGGAATCACTGGGACATGGTGGAATCACTAGGACATGGTGGAATCTCTAGGACATGGTGGAATCACTAGGACATGGTGGAATCACTGGGACATGGTGGAATCACTACGACATGGTGGAATCTCTAGGACATGGTGGAATCTCTAGGACATGGTGGAATCTCTAGGACATAGTGGAATAATTATATCACAGGTATGATTATATATAGTGTCTACTTACCCAGTGAGCTGAGAAGTACAATCCAACCACTTTCCCCTGCAATATTGATGCATCTATTTCTTCTTTCTCATGTAGTAACTTTCCCTTCATGACATCATGAAACGGTTTTAACTTCCATGGGAAGCCATGGCCTGCCTCGTCCTCCTGTACGTGGTTGAAGCCGTCGACTGTGATGACCTTCCCCGTCTCCCCATCCAGCAGCACCAACTTCGGGATGCCCTGAACTCGGAACTTCTTCACCAACTTTGCCTGAAATCACACATTAGGTCTTCTACAAACATTGCAAACAGACTGAAACATTCTGTTCATTGCAGACATAACTCAATCATTAACAAATAAAGAAAACTTACAAAACTGATACCTCTTTAATATTATGTTTGACACAGACCAACAAGGATCCATCAGTGTCTCAGTACAAACACACATGGATCCATCAGTGTTTCAGTACACAGACCAACATGGATCCTTCAATGTTTCAGTACACAGACCAACAAGGATCCATCAGTGTTTCAGTACACAGACCAACATGGATCCTTCAATGTTTCAGTACACAGACCAACATGGATCCATCAGTGTTTCAGTACACAGACCAACATGGATCCATCAGTGTTTCAGTACACAGACCAACATGGAACCATCAGTGTTTCAGTACACAGACCAACATGGATCCATCAATGTTTCAGTACACAGACCAACATGGATCCATCAGTGTTTCAGTACACAGACCAACATGGATCCATCAGTGTTTCAGTACACAGACCAACATGGATCCATCAATGTTTCAGTACACAGACCAACATGGATCCATCAGTACACAGACCAACATGGATCCATCAGTGTTTCAGTACACAGACCAACATGGATCCTTCAGTGTTTCAGGACCAACATGGATCCATCAGTGTTTCAGTACACAGACCAACATGGACCTTCAATGTTTCAGACACAGACCAACATGGATCCATCCAGTCACAGACCAACATGGATTTCAGTACACAGACCAACATGGATCCATCAGTGTTTCAGTACACAGACCAACATGGATCCTTCAATGTTTCAGTACACAGACCAACATTCCATCAGTGTTTCAGTACACAGACCAACATGGATCCTTCATGTTTCAGTACACAGACCAACATGGATCCATCAGTGTTTCAGTACACAGACCAACATGGAACCATCAGTGTTTCAGTACACAGACCAACATGGAACCATCAGTGTTTCAGTACACAGACCAACATGGATCCTTCAATGTTTCAGTACACAGACCAACATGGATCCATCAGTGTTTCAGTACACAGACCAACATGGATCCATCAGTGTTTCAGTACACAGACACACATGGATCCATCAGTGTTTCAGTACACAGACCAACATGGATCCATCAATGTTTCAGTACACAGACCAACATGGATCCATCAATGTTTCAGTACACAGACCAACATGGATCCATCAGTGTTTCAGTACACAGACCAACATGGATCCATCAATGTTTCAGTACACAGACCAACATGGATCCTTCAGTGTTTCAGTACACAGACCAACATGGATCCATCAGTGTTTCAGTACACAGACCAACATGGATCCTTCAATGTTTCAGTACACAGACCAACATGGATCCTTCAATGTTTCAGTACACAGACCAACATGGATCCTTCAATGTTTCAGTACACAGACCAACATGGATCCTTCAATGTTTCAGTACACAGACCAACATGGATCCATTCAATGTTTCAGTACACAGACCAACATGGATCCTTCAATGTTTCAGTACACAGACCAACATGGATCCTTCAATGTTTCAGTACACAGACCAACATGGATCCTTCAATGTTTCAGTACACAGACCAACATGGATCCTTCAATGTTTCAGTACACAGACCAACATGGATCCTTCAATGTTTCAGTACACAGACCAACATGGATCCTTCAATGTTTCAGTACACAGACCAACATGGATCCTTCAATGTTTCAGTACACAGACCAACATGGATCCTTCAATGTTTCAGTACACAGACCAGCAATGCCCAGAGCAGCTTCTTCTGTGGACACAGGAACCCAATCAAGAAGCATATAATGGTGTTTACTTCAAGACACTATAAATATATATACACTGGGAATCCCTGAGCAAATCATTGAATCAGAGCGTCTGATATCCAGGAATAGTTGTGGGGTAACATCTACAGGACTTGATAACATCTTTTTTATTCAGTTTCACATTAGTTCAAAACAGACAGCAATTTAGTTCTGTTTGCCTCATTAAAAGTTTCCACGCCAACAAAATACAAAGCTAAATGCATACTGACACTTGACACAATCTAACAGCCTGCATGCCACTGAAAAACATTCCTCATATCGGTCTCCTCAAACAAAACATTATCCTGATTCTTGAAGCGGCTTGAAGGCATTACTCTCATCTCATGAACACCTGGTGTCATTGGCACAAGTTCAAGTCATTAATACTGCAGATGCATTCCACAGAGTAACAAGCAAGAAGTACTATTATCCCCCCTGCCAGCGGTATGTTCCCTGAGGGAAGGCACCTGGGACTTATTCTACGGAGGCAATGACACTGAATCAAAATCTGAGTAATTCGTTGCTAGGGGGACTGGTACTCTAGACTAACGCTTAGCCTCTAAATATATACAGACCAACATGGTACTCTAGACTGGTACTCTAGACTAACGCTTAGCCTCTAAATATATACAATTTTGAAAGAAACAAATAATATATTTTAAATTGAAAAGGAGCCCCAGTGAGATGGGAGATTCAGTACCTGAGAAATCTAGACTTGCTTCAGTTTACGCTATAACACTACAATAGTAGCTGGTTGGAAGTGAAAATAATGCAGTTGAGGGTCTGACTGACTGACTGAGTTTGGTTTCATGCCGCTTTTAGCAATATTCCAGCAACATCACGGCGGGGGACACCAGAAATGGGCTTCACACATTGTACCCATGTGGGGATTCGAACCCGGGTCTTCGGCGTGACGAGCCAACGTTTTAACCACTAGGCTACCCCACCGCCCCTGTTGAGGGCCTGTGAGACAGACTACTGGTGCAATCTGAGCTCTCTGAGAGGGGTGGTGTTACTGTGTGAAGTTGGATAGTATGGTTCTTCCATTTGTTTCCACTGACTGAGAAAACATATAAGACGTTAAAGTACTGGTATTCTAAAAACATAAAAGACAATTGATCACATGACGTGTAAGTGATGAAATAAAAATGAAAATGAACCCTCCATTTATTGGAATTTATTGCCATGGAAACCAGACAAAGTGTTGTTGAGAAATAATGAATGGTCTTCAAGTTATATTCAACAAACAAACAAACAAACCCCTCCCTCATTTGTGCCTAAGTCCAGTTTGTTGTCATGGAAATTAAAAAGGTAAAAAATCCTAAAATTCCGAAGAGCAATCATAGTTTGATATATCTATTGAAAGTTTGATAAGAAATACTAAGTGTGGCCCTTGTGCTGTGCACCAGAAACAAATACGATTGGGCAGCTGGACAAGACATATTCCTACATCCCCTCTAACATTATGGCAGGGGTATGTAAAAGATCACTAGCACAATAATTCTCATGAGGTAGCCATTTTGAATTTTCCAAAAACACAATCCAGCTTCTTGTAAATACGGACATCCTCTAAAGATTTATATGCTACAGGGAAAAGGTTGTATTTGTCACAGAAGTGTGCTGTAGAGGCTGCCATTTTGAATATTGAAAGTAATATTCAGTTGAAGATTAGGATGTGCTGTGTGTGCACATGTGGTGTGTGTTACTCTGTATGTGTGTGCATGCATGCATGTGTGGGCGTGTGTATGGGTTTGTGAGACGTGCGTGTATGTAATATTCCAGTTGTGATGATGTAGCCTGTAGTGGTGGTCCGATTAATTGAAATAATCGAAGATTGGTCGCAATGAATGAATGACAAAGCAATCGATAATGTTTTCTCATAAACGAACACAAACAGTTTTGGAACACTTGTTTGCATTAACAATATTTTTCAGATTAATTTTGGGTTTTTTCATAAGCACTACAAGCTCGTTCCTTGTTATGACTGAATTTATCTGAAAGACACACCAGGAAATTTATGTTCCTAACATACTAGACATCCTTTAAAGATGTGAAATTTGTGACGCTAATCAATTATACTCAATGAATGATCGGTTGTAATGAACCAATCATCAATTGTGAGATTTTACCCAATTCCCAACACTAGTTGCCTGAGAATACCCAAATCTTGACCAGACAGTCCATTGGTTGATACTGTGAGCACACCATCGGGTAGACTGACATGCAAGGTCACCAAGTCCCACCACTAAATGTTTTTGGTAGCCTAACTGCATAGGTTACACAGACTCCCCATGGGGTCGAGAGACATGGAGAATGTTTATTGCATTCCTAGGTTTAGGGGTTATAAAGGACTGGATTTTAGCAGATATAATTGATGCAGAGATGGAAGTGCAGTCAAATGGATGGAGGAAAGATGAAATCCCACATCACCGAATTACAGTTAAAAATTCAAATATTTTCTCAGTGTATGAAATAAGCCAAAAATCCAGCCAGACATCAGGGCTGGTAACTTCAAAATGTTACCAGCCCAAAATGGATTTAACCAGACCAAATATGGTGAATTTACTCAGATGTATGGAACATCTAAAAAATTACCAGATCATCGGCCTGGCTAGCTGTAAATTAGACCGTATGTCAGAAATCTAGACCGTCTCGGGTGGTCGGATGGGCCTTATTTCATACATTTTTCTGTTGCATTTGACAGAAAAACATAATTGATACTGAGTGAGTGATGCAGGTCGTAGACATTTACCTAGTTGGTGAAACCCATGAGCAGAAACCTGTTGCTGATGAACATTGGAGGCAAACTGGGAACGACGAACAAACTTAATAACTTGTATGCCATAGGGATACAACTCTGGATACAAACTCTCAAAGTACAGTACCGTAAACAGATGAGCCATCTGTATCCCCTCCACAATCAGACAAATACTACACTTATACTTACAATTCTGCCAATCACATAGTCAAATTTATACACAAAAAACCAAAAAAGTGTCAGATCATATGTATTGTACATCAATCATTTGTGTCGAAACTGAAAGTCTGCATTCTCCCAACACTAACCCTGTAATCTGTGAATGTAATGTAGCACGTACATATCTCTCAAAGCTGAATTCAAAGCCGAGTCAGAGACACTGAACCGCCTGCTATCTTTATATAAACACCACCATCTC